TTACAGGGTTGGAGACTGAGCAGGCATTCCAAAGGTGTTGTGGACTGAATTTGTGACCCCTCTTTTCTATGCTAAATCCCTAATCCTCAACGTGATAGTATTTGGAAGTGGGATTTTGGGGCAAGTAGGTTCAAATGAGGTCAAGAAGGGGGAGCCCTAGGATGGGATTAGTGCTTTCACAAGAGGAAGGAAGACCCGAGTTCCTGTTCTCTCTGCCACGTGAGGATTCCAAGAGGAGGTGGCTGTTCATGAGCCAGGAGAGCGTCCCCACCAGGAACTCAATCAACCAGCTCTCACTAGGAACTTATCTTGAATGTCCAACCTCCAGAACTATAAGATATAAATGCCTGTGGCAGTTTTTTACAGCAGCTGCTCTAAGACAAAAGGCAGTAGCAGGTGCAGACAACCAGAGGGAACACCAAGCCCCATCAAACAACTCCAGGCAGAATAGCTGAGCCCTTCCCTGCAAGTAGCCACAACAGCTCCTTTCCAGGATACCCAACCACTTCCACTGGCAGCACTGCCTCCTTCAGTTCTTGAACTAGAACTTGATCCCTTGGCTTCCTGTCTTTATGCAATAAAATTCTCAAATCCTGCCTCTTTTGCATTCCCTGCACCACACCCACCTGCAGTGCACTTATCTGGGAGGCACATGACCCATACCTGGGGCATTAGCCTCTGCAGAGAATACTGCTACCCCTGAGTGACCCCTAGCTGCTACCATCAAGGGCCTCCTAGCACCACACTCTAGGGAAGCAAGGCTATAACCCTGAAAAGCAGACACAGCCCCCTGAGAAGAGCCTGGTGTCACTGAGAATGGGGCCCAAGACCAGATGCCACCTAGTTTGTTCATAAGCATATTACCTGGGCCCCTGTCCAAAATTCCCACAGGACCTCCCTGCCCTTCCAGACTACTGGGAGTACCTGAAGGGGCTTCCAAATCTCCCCAAGTACCTCAACAGTATTTAATGCCCCAATGGAGTACACAAAGATAAACCTCATGACCAACCACCCTACCTCCACGTTGGTAGGATACCTCCTTGCAGGGCCACTGCTCTTATTTCAATAATGTGTAATGTAGCATGTTACCCTCAGCTTCACACTCTGCCAAACGCTATGATGGCCCTGACAATGGGGCAGATCAAACCCTACCCACCTGCCAGAGGTCTGGGCAGGGACTGACTCAAGAGAGTACCTCTGGGAAACAATAAATGCTCTTTCTTCCTTTTCCAGGAACCACACTGGAATGCAGGCACATGCAGACCTGGTGCAGGCCAGGGCCCCATCTATACACTGATGGTCCACAGTGACACAGAAGTCCTTCCTTACTCTTATCAGTGGAGCACAGATGGTGGGCTCAGAGCACCACACTCCACAACCCTGACCAGCGAACACAGGAGAATCATAGGAAGCCCATGGAGCTGCTAGGGACAAAGTCCCGAGTCTACACCCACCCTGAAGACCTCAATTCCAAGTCTCTGTGTTTAAGCTCCATGATTAACAGGCGAGGGCTCCTGCCAACCTGCCTGAAGTACCCTTGGGTCTTTTGGGGGTCACTAACAGTGTGTGGCACTAACATGTGTTTGGTGGGTGAGCAAGTGAAAGAACAGGGAGAAAGAAAGGCATTCAGCTGTTAGCTATCTAACACCAGTGCCAACTTCAGACAAGGAAGCAGCTGGTTCTGCTCTGAGGGGTGTCTTATGGGGTTGGGAGCATCTTCAGAACTCCAAACCTGAAGAATCAGGGCCTAACCCTGGCTCAGGAATGCTGACACCACCTGTAAGGGCACCCCAGTCAGGCCCTGACAAAGGCAGACCAACAGGGAACACAGCCCCTCCTCTGTGACCCAGCTACCAGGAGCCAGGCCAGACAGACCCAAAAACATGAGTCATTTAACAACTCCAGGAACCACTATTAGGAGAGTGTCACTGGTTCAGCCTGCAGGGCATCCTCAGAACCAGCAGGGACACTAACGAAAGTCAGCGTGGCAGAAGGGAGCCCTTGCCAGTGCAGACAAGGCCAAAGGTTTCCGGCAACCTGGAACAGAGCAGGGAGGGCTGACTCCAGCCTCTGTCACTACTCCAATAAATGAGATTTTTGGTTGTGCAACCACTCAGATCCCTCCCCACCATGGGTGTCCACTCAGCCCTGTAGCCAGTCACATCACAGAAGAGCCACTGTGATACATTGTCCAGATGCCCCCTCAGAGGGGCCTTTGAGCAGATGGCCTTCAGCTATTTCCAGGATTTTGTGGCTACACAGACTCTCCCACCCCAAGCCAAGTCCCTCCCAGGCCAGCCTCCATGTGATGACTGTGGAAGGAGGCCTGACAATCTCACCAGCCTGGGACAGCTCTAGGGGCCAAGTTCACTCTAGAGAAGAGGCTGTCCTGGGGACTTCTTGCAAAGCAATCCTCCTTCTGCCCCTTCTGTTTCTCTCACCTCCTTCCCTCCATGGGTACTGTTCCAAGGATATTGCTTAATAAGTACCCTGCATGACACACTCCCTCCCTCCCCTTCTGGGAACCCAGTCTATGACTTTAAGTCCTAAATACACAATGACAAAATTCTATAACCTGTCAATTCCTGTGAATTACATCCTCACAGAAGCCCAGGACAACAGTTCTGACTGTAGCAATCTTGCTGAACTCAAACAGCCTATTTTTAAAAAAGTCAAGGGATTCTCATCATGATCACCCCTCCAACTATCTCACCAGCCCCACAGCATGGACTCCCCCACCCCACCTGGACCTCTCCTTGAATGGGTCTCACAAGGTTGAAAAATCTGATAGGCCCTGTCAACCATCCAAAGGTATTTGCCCTGGAGCTGAGACCTTGTCCTGCTTTGTGAAATTCAGTGGGCTCCCACTAAGCTTGGGAAGGCCCCCAAACCATTTGAAAGCTCCCAGGTCAGTCCTGCAGAATAGAAGTAGGAACTCTGAGCCTCCTAGCACTCTTTCCTGTGGACTTGCACTTCTGCTCACTGGGCCTCTGCTTGCTGAGTTTGCTCCCCCAGAGCCTGCCACACCCCAGGAAGTGGGTCTGTCCATCCTGCTGCAACAAAGCTGCAATGGGGGCAGGTTTCTTCATTTTCTCAGCTCTTCAGCTGCAAAACGAAGACCAGCCTGGGAAGGCTTTGTAAAAGGCAAACCAGAATCACTCCTAACATGTTTGCTATGGTTTAAACTAAAGTGCCTAATAGAGTCTGAAGGTGGCCAAAATTCATGCTGAAGCTTAATCCCACCGTGGCGGTATAAAGAGAGGCCCTGGGGAAGCAATACATCATGAGCTCTGCCCACAGAGATGGATCATGCCTTATAAATTAGCTTAGGCTCCTTTGTCCCTTCCTTTCCTTTGCCATGTAAAAATACAACACTTTTCCCTCGGCTACAGCAACCAGGCACCAATCTGGAAGAGGACAGCAGTCCTCACCAGACACCAGACACTAATCCTGACAGTACCTTGATCTTGGACTTCCCAGCCTCCAGAAGAACAAGAATACATTTCTATTGTTTATAAATTACTCAGTCTGTATTATTTTATTAGTGCAGCACAAATGCACTAAGATGGTGCCCAACACAGGGTCTGGCCCTCCATACCAAAGCTGCTATTAACCATGGTGATGACAGTCAAAGATGGGATAGTCTATTTGTCAGCTTCTACTGCTCCTCCTCAGCTGATGCCCAGGCCTTCCTCACTGCTCTAAAACACTCTCCAGCCCAAGTATCACAACAGCACCCCCTAACCTCTGGTTTGCTTGGCTCTTGGCTTCCTCGGCAGGTAGAACCCTTGAGGCCAGAATCTGAGAAAAGGACTCCAAATCTTGTCCAGCTCACCCAATGTAGTGCTCCAGCCCATGCCCCAGCCTCTGACCCTTGCTCTCCAAAGGCTAACAGGCTCTGAATACAATCTGAGGTTCTCCTGGGCTTAGGAGGTAAGAACAAGATGTAAAAAGTAATTGTTACTCCACTTTTAACCCATCACCCATCAGCCTGCATAACTCAAAGCTAAGTCAAAATTCAGTGGCAGTAGTCCAGGATATAGCTCAGTGGTAGAGCACTATTTAGCATGCCCAAAGCCCTGGATTCAACCCCTGTACACACAAGTACGTGCATGCGCTTGCATGCACACACAATTCAAGCGCAGGGGAAGCTACAAGGAAGAGGTCCTTGTTAAAGTCTCCATAAATCTGCTGTATTCCTGTCCTATTCCTTCCCCAGCTTAGAAGTGGGCATAGTGACTTGACACACATTGGTTCTCCTGCTGCCAGATGCCTTCAGGACATACCAGTGTTGGTTATCCCTGCTGTCCATTCACTATGACATGCAAACAGCCAGTGCCAACACTACTCAACCCTTCTTTGCTATCCAGCTACTATACATGCAAGAAACGTAATTTGCTATAAAATAAAAAGTGCTGCAAATGATAAGTTCCTAAAAGGCTGCTTCTTCATCTTTTGTAGGTCCCATAACTGTGATAAGAGCCTTTGTACCTAAATATTGCAAAAAATTTACAAACGCAAATATGAGGGCATACCCTTACACACATACATTCTCACACACTACATATCCAAAGATAAAGTCTCCCTTCACTGACATGGCTAGCAGAAGTGTCTAAGGTTCCAGGACACTATGTGTTAACTGTGAAAAGAAATCACTTTGCAAAGGATTTGCTTTAGTCTATGCCCTAAAGAAGAAGGGAAGACAATGGCAGCACACACAACAGGTCTTAGGCCTACTGACTCCTAGCACCTTATTCCTTCTGCTAGCACACTGGCAAGCCCCCAAAAAACACTGCCAGTGCATAAGGCACCATAGTCTCTGAGACCCTCTCCTTGCCACGAGCAATCCCATTATCATCTGCAAGGTATAAGTATTTCCCTAAAATCTTTTTGAACAAGTGTTTCCATTTAGCAGCAGGCTGCTTTGTTATTTCAGAAATGTCTCCAGCAAGCTTCATTTGGCAACAGCATGTAGAATCAGCTTCCAGGATGCTGCTTACCTTTGACAAGCAACTTGTCTCTCACAGAGACCCTCCGAGTGGAGTCAGACGTGGTGGCTGACGTCCGGGACCCTTTGAGACCGTCATCCCGCTTCAGCTTGCTTGCCAGCGTTAGCATTACTGCCACCTTTACCCTGAAAGACCAGGGGAGAGCAGAGTCAAGACCATGCCTCTAGACAGCAATCAGATCCTGAAGGCACAAGACATAAGATAAAGATAGATTCCTTCATAATGAACCTAGGAAAGTTCCATACCATCTTAACTTTTAAAGTGTGAATTAAAATATTTTAAAAGGGAGAGTAAGACATTTAATACTCAGTGCTTACCCCTCAGATGTCAGGCCCTGGGGTTGTATCAAGCATATAGTTTGGGGCGGGGGGGGGGGGGGGGGCTACAGCTTCTCTACCAGCATGTGCCTGACACTGGAATCCAAACAGGTCCACTGTTCACTGGGAAGTCTGTTCTTCCTTGTAATAGGGTCCTAGGTGTGGCTCAGGGGCTCACCCTTCAGGAACAGGGGGAGCAGCGAGGTGTTCCTTTCCTTCTTCCTTTAATAAAGGTATGAATGCAGCCTTCAAAGGATCTTTGCATTGATTTGTGCTGTACTTTATTTACACTTGTGGCAACATCAACACCAACACTAAATTATAATTAATGCCCTAAATCAGATTCTCTTCACTGCCCAGACTTGAGCACATCAGTCTTGCCATAGCATCAGTGTCCCCTGATGATGAGCCAAGACACATGTCCATCACACAGTGGTCAGTCAGAGGCATCAGATGCCCCACATAGGGACCACCAGCTTTTCAACCTCTGGCTCACTTCAGTAGTGAAAATAGGGTAAGAAGTTAAAAATAAAATAAAAGCAGTGTGTGAAGAGGTCGTGGTCAGTCCTCCGGTGTTATACTGAAGAGCCCCATGGAAAAGCAAGCAGCGGACATAAGCCCTCCATCCCAGCTCCCTGAGGATCTGTACCAAGCAGAGCTCAGAAAGGCCTGGCAAGAGTCATCATTCTTGTGGAGAAGGGTGTCTACCAAGACCCTCTTCTGCACCGCTGCTGCCTAAGGCTGTGCTTATGAAGTTACCCTCATGCTTTTCCATTCGCTCACCCACACTGAAGCCTTCTCTGTGGCAGAGGCTGGAGGCCCCCCATGCAACTCCACTGACAGAACCCTGGCTTACTATCTTCAAGTTTACTAATAAAATGCATTGGGAGGGGACTGGGGTTGTTGCTCAGTGGTAGAGCACTTAGCCTGCGTGAGGCAATGGGTTTGATCCTCAGCACCACATTAAAAAAATAAGTAGACAAAATAAAGGTATTGTTTCCATTCTTTTTTTTAAAGAAAAAAAAATTATTTTTTAGTTGTGAGTGGACACAGTACATTTGTTTTATTTTTACGTGGTGCTGAGGATTGAACCCAGTGCCTTACACATGCTAGGCAAGCGCTCTACCTCTGAGCCACAACCCCAGCCCTAAAAGAGAAACTCTTAAAAAAAAAAAAAAAAAAAATACATTGGGAGGGCTGAGGTTGTGGCTCAGTGGTATTTACTTAGCATGTGTGAAGCACTGGATTCAATTCTCAGCATCATCAAAGATTAATAAATAAGGGTATCATGTCTATCTACAACAACACTAACAAACACATTGGGAACCTGAGTGCAAGTTTTAAAGAAAACAACACTGGTGTTTTGCCTTACATAAAGTAATACAAAATTTACTTTCCTAACATCCAAAGAAATATGACTATAGTGACCATCTATTTCTCTACCATCTGTGTCATTATGACATGCCACTTCAAGGATAAACCAAAGGCCTAATTAGGAAATATTTCCACTGCTATAAAATTAAATCTATACAGAGATTCAAACAAAAAACAATTACTGTCAAAAAGTTAGCTGAAAATCTGCAGTTGCTTCAGAACCTCCTCAATGCCTAAACTCTCCACAGTCTGGTTTAAAATTAAACTTCCCCTTTCTGGAAAAGGACACTCTGACTAACAGCATTTTGGGAACAGATCAGCTATTCTGAATGGCATGCTCAGTCTCTAGGTTCCACAAATCGTAATTGGCCCAGTTAAGTTCCTCCTCTGGGTGGGACCTGTTTTTAGTGTGTCCAAAGAAGAAGATTGTGTTATTTACTGGTCTAATCATCAAATGCTGCTTATTCAGCATTCCAGTGTGCTGTGATGAAATCGGGCCATGTCACCTGTGCAGGCCAACCAAGGACCAGTCAGCTCAATGTGAGGGTAACTTCATTTACAATTTTTCCACCATAGAGAAGCCCCAATCCAAGCATAAGAAATACAAGCTGGTCACTAGGGGACGTTCAACTTCCCCAGCCAAAGGAGCCCGGATCAGGACACAAATAAGTCCAGGCCCCACCATTCCACAGAATGCCAGATCCCAGGAAGCTCCCGGCTGGCACAGTCTGGCTGGCCAACCACCCCTGGAGCCCAGGCGGTCTCATTTCCAGCAGGTACACCCGCCCCTCTCCCACTACCTGAATGGCAGGTATGTCCCCGGAGAGACCCCCAGCCCCGCAGCACTCTGCCGCCTTCATCTCCCTCCCCACCGTCCCGCACCAACACCCTGCTCGTTTCTGGAAGCTTCTGTTCCACCTGACGGCCGGCCCGGAACGCGCTCCTTCCCTTCCCACCCAGCCTTCCCTTCCCGAAGGAGCGCGATTCCCACGGAGTCCGAGTCTTCCCCAAGAAGGGTCCCGCGCGGCGGCCGCACCACGGCCCACTCCGGCAGGGGCGGACCCGAGCCTGGCGCGCCCAGCCGCTCGGCGACAGAAGGGGAAACTGAGCCCGCGGGAGGCCACGCCCCAGGCCACGCCCCGGCCGGAGCGGCACGGTGGCTCCGCCGCGGCGGGAAGCCGGCCTGACCGCGCTCTGCCGCCGCGGCGAGCGAGGCGGCCACTTCGGCTCGGCCCGAGGCCCAGCAGCCCCCGGCCCGCTCCGCCGGCGGTGACCTTGCTGCCCGGCGCGGCCCCCGGGTGCTGGGCGCGGGCGTCCGGCCGGACCCCGCTCGCAGGCCGCCCGGCCTGGCCTGGTCCGGCCCGGCGTGAGGAGCCCGAGGGCCCAAAACCGGGGCCGCCGAGCCTCAGCCGCCCCTCACCTGGGCACCCCGAGACAGGCGAGGCGGGCAGGCGCCCAACACCATGCCCGGCCGGGCGGCGGCGGAGAGATGCGGCCCCTCACAGCCGCACCGGCTCCCGGCGGCGGGACCGGAAGTAGCGGGGCGGGGACTCGGCCGCTCTCGCCCTCGGCGGCAGCGGGCGCTTTAAAAAAAAAAATTCAAAGCCGCGCAGAACTTTATTTGCAACCTGACTCGCGAACAGCGGCGTGTGCCGCCCGGGGCGGGACTAGGCGAGGCGGACGCTCTGACCTCTCTGATTGGTCGAGGGGCGCGGCGGGAGGCGGGCATGGATTCGAGGTCCTCGCTGATTGGTCAGTGAAGTCCAAGGCGGGGCCTCCGAGGTAGTTCTGGCGCCTGAGAGCTCCAGCGCGCGCGTGGAGCCAGGTTCCCTATTTCCATTCATTCGGCAATGTGCGGGGCTTGGGGGTTTGGAACTGATCAAGCGCCAAGCCGGAACTGACCGCTACCATGAGTGGAGCGCCCGGGGTGTCCAGGACAGTGACCAGTGCAAAGGACCCGGCTAGCCCCAGCAGCCTGCAGTGCCTGGGCTATGACGTGGGCGGTCAGACGTGCAAATGACCACCCCGTGGGCCGGCGGAAGGGTGGGTGGCCCATTCCTGCCTTTTTTAGCCTTTCTCTGATCCGTTTAATACACATGCTTTAAAGATCTCTTTCAAGTTGTCCACTTCTAGATTATGGGGTGCAAATTCTTCTCTTGTCCTTTAGTGTACTTGTGTGATTGACGGTGGGCAGCTCTGGGTGGGGTCAGGCAAGCTTCTGGAGCAGTGGGCCATCAAAAGATGAGGTTAACCACGAAGACAGGAATAAAGAGCCAAAGAGTGAGACTTGTTTCCAAGAGCTCCACTGAATGATTTTAAAAGGTGACTGACAGGCTTGTTTTGTTTTGTTCTAACTCAGGGCCTTCCCCATACAAATCACGTGCTATACCACTGAGCTACATCCCCAGACCCTAGATTTTCTTTCTAAAAGAGGCTTTTGGATCTGTGAACTGGTGGGAGAGGAGCCAAGAGAATCCTCAATAATAACTCACATTCTTTCTTTTGTTTGGGAACATTTCTCCCTTTACCCAGCCAACTCCCAAGTTTTCCTAAGCTTAGGCATCACTTTCCCAGAGAGGCCTCCAGGTCCAGGTCCCGGGTCTTGGGAGGATTCCCCAATGCATTCCCCAATGCACCTTCTCCCCCTCGGCCGTGCACAGTGGTGGAGGGTACCTGTGTCCTGGGTGTCTTTGCCGGAGCCCTGCACTCTGGCTTCTTGGTGCTGAACAAGTGTTGTCATTGCCTAGAGCACACCTCCACCACACGACCAGCACACTGGTTTCATTAAAGAGGTTGGTAGCATAGAAGTTAACTAGTGAGATCAAAATAAACACACAGACTCAATTACCTTTTTCTATGACCAGGTCCGAGAAGGCTCTCCCCTCTGGCTACTGCCTCAAGCCACCTGGTGGAGCAGCCATGTTTACTCAGGACTAAAAGGAGAGAGAGAGAGCACACCAGGGAGTGGCCTTTTATTGGGGAACAAGAAATTCAGGGGAAAATTCCATCCAATGAAGGTCGAGGGGGGCAGCATTCCAAGGTCAGGGTCAGTGATTGGCCTCAGGGTCAGTGGTCAGTCACACCCCCACACGGACAGGCTCTAGCACCTGGAGAGGGTGGGGATTAGCTCCCACACAGTTTGGCCAGAACGCCTCACACCCAATCAGGGAGGTGCCCAATCACGTGCGAGAATGGCTTCCCACACACACCCTGAGCACATAGCCTGTGCCCAGAACACATGTGCTGGGTAGATATTGCAAGAACGAGTGTGGAGTCCTGGCAAGAGAAGATAAGGGCTAAAAGCAAGGCTGTGGGTGAAGGTGCAACTGGAGTGGCTTGGGCACCGCTTTCCCACTCTGGGGCACCGCAGGAGAACCAGGTGCACTGTTCACTGGCCCACAAGAGCCTAAATCTGACCACCTCAGATGAATGACGCCATTTCCAGTCATCTTCTGAGGTACACCATGCCCTAACCTAAGACTTGGTTAGGGCCCACTAGTTCTTAGCTTCTTCATTTCTCACAACAACCCCATGAAACAGTTTTCTTATTTCCATTTTAGAAACAAGGTGACTGAGGAACAAGTTGGATGGTCTGCCCAAGGCGGCAGAGCTAGTTGTGAGGTCAGGCAGTGTGACCGCCTTGTGCTCACTAGCACACTGACCCAGAGGCAGTGCTGATGCCAGATGTGCAAATAACCACCTGTTTATCTCCAACCTGCCTTAGCTGTAACACAGAAGATTCCAAAGACTGAATGTGTCCCCAGAGCCTGAGAAGGTCAGTTCTGGGGACCTGGCCAGGCGCTATTGCCTGCAGGCCTCTCTCCTCAGTCCTGGCCTCTGTGGGCTGGCCTTGCCCTCCTAGATGCCTTGGTGGAGGTCGGCCTAGTCTCAGACACATCTTTATACTACAGCTGCCACTGCCCGCTCTACTTCACATTCTCTGGGAAGGGCTGGCTTTGGTCATGTGTCTGCTCTGTGCGTGGGGGCAGGGATTCAACTCTGAGCCTCCCAAGGAGTGCTGTTGCTAGAGGAGGGGAGGTGGAAACTGCCACCATATGTCCTCCCCATCCCTTAGACCTTGTATGGCAGCTCCCAAGTTCAACCCCAGGAACCGCCTGCTGGGGCACAGAAGGGGAGATGTCTCTGCTATGGCTTGGATGTGTCCCCTCCCAAACTCACTTGACAGTTAACCCTAGTGCAACAGAGTTGGGAGTGAGGCCTAATGGGAGGCATTGGGAGTGAGGGCCCCGCTGCGGTGTGGATTAGTGCTGCTGCAGAAGGCCTGCAGGGGAGGTTCTCTTCTGCTCTTCTGCCCTAATGGGACACCAAGAAGGTTCTCACCAGTGCTGGCACCTTGACCTTGGGCTTATCAGCCTTCAGAACTGTGAGAAATCTATTTGAAGAAACGTATATAATAAATTTCTCATTTCTTACCGTCCCAGAGGCTGGGCAGTCCCAGGCTTGCTTGGGTTTTTTTTTTTTTTTTTTTTTTCAGTGCCGGGGAATAAACTCGGGGCCCTTGTTTGTATGTCCAGGCAGGCACTCTACCACAGAGCTGCAGCCTAAGTTTCTGCTCTTTGTAAATTTCCCAGTCTGTGGTATTCTGTTATAGTAACACAAAATGGGCTGAAACAGTCCCTTGTTTTCAGCCAGGCCAGCCTCTGAGCACAGCCGCAGGGGCTGTCTAAAGTCACTGAGTGCTGCAGCAGCCATGAGAAGCCAATGCACCTTCTCCCCCTCGGCCGTGCACAGTGGTGGCCGGAGGCTGAAGGAGCACCTAAGATCTGTGAGGCTGGCTGGAGGGAGAGGCCAGGCCACTGGCCCAGGCACACTGTGGCACATTTCACAGGGAATTGGGATGCTGAAGCCACTCCTGCAGAGAAGGCCCGCTTTGTTTTAGATTTTGTGTAGTTCCTGTAGTTTGCATTGTTCCATCTGAAGTTGTCCACTTCAGCCGGTGCTGAGTGTGAAAAGTCAAAAAACACTTCTCTTAAAGGAACCATGGCTGAAAGTGTGTGTCTGTCAGAGTTGATGGAAACACTTGATAAACAAGACAGGCGCCAGATAGGAGCAATCATCCTGCGTTCTGGGCATTTGTAAAGGTCCAAGATGGTGTCCACAGGAAAGCACCTCAGGCTACAGCCCTGACGTTCTTCCAGGGTCCCTTAAGGCAGTTTCACCTCAGGTAGAGCCCCTCCACCTGTAGCCACAGCTCTTGCTGGAGACTGGGGTGAAGAACCAACCCTCTGTGACTACCTCCCAAACCTTCACAGCTGGTGTCCAGCAGGGCTCAGGTGATGGCAGTGCTGCAGGTCCTCTATAAAGAGGAGGAGCCACCATTCAGAGTGGACCTGGGCTTCTGCTTGCTGTGTTGGCAGCTAGGTGACCCAGCACAACACCTTAGGAGGTCAATTAAAGTAAAAATAAATAAATAAAACCCCTTCTGATCTTTTGACACAGTAACTCCACCCTTGCCTGTGGAAGTAATCCAAAAGCAGAAAAAGCCCTGGCACAAAGATGTCCATTGTATTATGTACAATAGTGAAAACCTGGAAGCCCCTCATGCGCAGTGCAAGGGATGGTCAGCTATGTTGCCATCCGCTTACTACAGGAAAGTGCAGCTGATCGGCAAGATCATCCCCAGATTACATGGAGCCATGAATACTTATTACGTCCAACAAGCAGCATTCTAACTGTGCACATGCAGTCGTGTGGTGACTGCCACAGGAAGAGACAACTACATGGGCAGAGCCTAGATGTCAGTAGACAAAGTGAATCTGATTTCTGTGTCAGGGCAAGAAGATTGGCAGTGACTTTTCCTCCTCCCCCCCCACCCCAACTTTGGCTTTTGTTACCTTGATAACAATACAAAGGCTTCTTATGCAAATCGCTGATCCTTAACTTGAAGCACAGGTCTGGTCCAGGAAGTTCTCCATGCAGCCCTTAGTTAAAGGAGTGAGTTATGGGGAAGCAAGTTAGGGATTCTCTGCACAAAGTTTAAAAACAGGCAACCTGGATCATGCTTCAAAAAGCCTTTCTAAATTCCAAGAACACAGATGAAATCA